TTGATTCAATCAAAAGATGGCAACCAAACTTGGGTACAAGATGTAATACTTGTGGACCAAAAATTCAGAACAATGGTGCTGACAATGTGGGATTCTTTTGTTGATAGAGAATGCAAATTTTTATCAGAAAATATTGACAAAAAATCAGTAATCTTTGCAACAAACCTAAAAGTCACCTCTTTTTTCGGTAAATTTCTATTATTTTTTCTTATTTAAACTCTGCTTAAAATTGCATTTCTTATCTTGCATCAATGAATTGTATAGGTTTAAAACTCTCCACAAAAAGTTTGTAGTACATTTTTCGTGAATACTTCTTTCATTGCAGTAGAAGAATTGGTTGAATGGTATGTATGTATATCCTTCAGCTTACATTTATTTTGGTTTTATTTGACTCATCTACTCTTTCATTTCTATCAGGAAAGATACAAATTTGGACAAAATCGATGAGTTCATTTTCAAAAAGCCATACACTCAAAAATCTCCCACAAAATTGTTTCCTCCAATGCGCAACAAATTCACCTTAATTCAAAATCTACAGGGTCGACTTTTATCGGTATTTATATATCTCTGTACACAATATTTATGATTTCTATTTATATTTTTTTATAAATTACAATTTTCTTTTTCAGAGAAAATTTTATTGGGTGAATGCCACTGCAAAAATGGAAAAAATAGATCAAAAATGTTGGTATATGGCTTGCAGCAATTGTTATTGGCGATCAAGCACTGATTTTGGTGAAATATATGTTTATATTTTCTGTAAAAGTTCCAATTTCAGCGCTATTCCTCGATAAAATATATTTTTTCACACCTTTATATATATATATATAGTTTTTTACTACATAAATAAATAATTACTTTCTTTATCTCAGAGCAAGAACATATGTCAAATTATCAGATGTCACGGGATGCATAAATGCAAGTGCAATTGGTGAAGTTGCAAAAAAACTTATGTTCACAAATACACAAACTTTGATGGAAAAAACAAACTTTGTAATAATTTACAGTCTTCTCCAATCTCTTTTGATATATTTGATAGATTTCTTCATAACATTCATATTTTTTATACACGGGGTTCACAAGTAGATTTTGGAGATATAATAAGAAAAATGCAAAATACTGAAAGAGCATTCTATCTCAAAGCGACTCAAGCAGAACCTAATTCATCCAATTACAAATTTGACATCATCTCCGTCGAATGTTTAATTGTAGATGAAGAACAAGATTGTCAAAAGAATATTAATTCTGAAAAGAATTTGGAGAATTTTAACATAGATGCAGATGCAGATGACAATTGCTCCCCTCCAGCCAAAAAAGCTCTTTTCAAATCAACTACGCACTAGTCAGAGTTAGAAAGTGCCGGCTCAAATCCATTTATACTGGACAAAATGAAAGAAAAAATAGAATAAAAAATGGAATGACAAAATTCAGCAGTATTATCTTTAAAAAACAAGCCAAGTTCATTTTGCATAATATTGTATATATTTTTGGTCTACCTTATGGTTATTTTATAGCTTTCAATGAAATTACTTTCTTTTCAATTTCTCATTTTCAACAACTTAAATCACTTCTTTTTTTTAATACTCGACATATTCTACGCTAATAATAACAACAAAACTCGTGCATCGCACGAGGCGGAAACTAGTATTGAAAACAAAGTTTGACCATTTATAAATTAACCATTATGCAAATGAAAAAGACACCCTTTTGCTAGGATTATTAGCACGTACTATGAAATGGAAATTGGCAGTGAGATTAAGCCTTGTTCAATGTAGTTTTTGGGGATTAACTGATACCCAAGTGATCAGAACGGCTAGGCCAACAATCACGACCAGGGCGAACAACACCATAATAATGCATCGTACTAGCGGTGAGTGGCGGGGTTGGGGTTGCTTGCGGTGGTAAAGGTGGAGGAGCACTAGCGGAACAACCGAGTTTTTGAGCAAGACTTGCTATGGATAATCAGGTTGTTTTATACAGATGAATATACGAGGATGTTTCTTCAGAATTCTCGCAAGATTTATAGATGTTCGTATCAATGTGAGACCTAAGTCCTCCTCCATTGATGGAGTAATGATGAATTTTTTTTTTTATTTTCTCTAATATCTCAAATCCTAATGGCAGCCTCCTTATATATAAAAAAAAAATTAGGAAAAAATCGAAATTACAATAGTAAAATCATAAACTATCCTTAATGAAAATTTGTTTCGTAGGATCTGCCTCCCGCAACCCTCAAGAGGGGGCTTCTAATCCTCATGGAGACCTTACCTTGAATGTTGATCTGCTTATATGCTTCACACAACAACAACAATTAGGCTCCACAATGTAAAACGCCTGCGACTGCAATGGCATACAAGAAGTTATTTGACTTCAAGACTTTCGCTAATGACAACTTGAGCTCGAGTAGGAAACCATCATTGTTTCTGCATCTTTTCTAATTGAGTTGACATATGCCGGCATGTGGATTTTTCAAACCACTCTAGTCTATAAACATGTTAAACTCATTGGTCAGCGACATTGATCTTTTCACCATCTCCAACAAAGTGTTTTGCGCAGCCCACGACTTTAATCCTTCATAGTCACTATCAACAATCAATCAGAAGAACTTCCAATTGCGGTTATTAATTTAAAGTAAAGCTAATTGGATAGTTAATTGGCACAAACAGACACTTCAGAAATTTCATAAATTCATTGAGGACAAAAAAACAAACAGAAAGGAGATGTAATTATACCTACCATTCAGATATAGAAATTTTAAAAGTCCCAATTAAATATACTTATTTTTAGAGAGTTTCAAAAAGTTTACAATAAATATTCCAAAACTTTTTAAAATTTTTATAAGTCTTTAAAAGTTTCAATTGAATACTCTCCTCTTCTGGAACTTCTTATCATAGACTATCTATTACGTCGGTCAATATAGCTTCAACAATTTTACAATCTTCACTGCACCTATAAAAATAATGACCCCACCTTCACTGTGTCCCTTTGCATTCAAATTATTGTGCTTTTGTATCATTTACCCATATGCATAAGCATAACATACCAAAAATCGAGCTCAATACTACTAATAACTTCGTCATGCAAATAATGTCTCCTGAAGAAGATGCATTTACCTATATGGTGTGCGATTTTATTCACATTTCAAGAAATCACCTTTTGTTTTCTTGAACATTCAATGGGTATCTAGCAAGAGATTACATTTGGCAATAGCCCATAGCCCCTATTTCGTCAAAGTTAATTAATTGTGTGGTTGAAAAGTTATGGTCCTATGAAATTGTGGTTAAAATTAATTTTTGATTTTGACTCAGATTAAAATTTTGAAGGGATAATTATTAAGTAATTTCTATCTGTAAGTTTCACTCGTGGTAATTGTACTGTTACTAAAGTTCATTTAAGTAATTGTAAATTAATTTTGTTTACTTGAACTATTACATTTTTTATTTGATGTCAATAGTGTAACTACATCTAATTATGTCACTCAGATGAAGAAAATCGATGACATTACCGTTACCCCACATTCACCTCATTCAACAAAGCTATATGAACGGCATAGTAGTAATGTGGCACCAATTCGAGACAAATGGGCTCTAGACGTGTGGGGCATGTTCCCTAGAAGATCTTCTGTACAAAATCTTCTATGATTGATTAATGTAACTTTTTTTTTTTTTGGCAATAACCTTTCTATTAAGTCAATTTGTCGGTGTAATTTTTTCATGTCAAGCATAGGCCCTAGGGTGTCTAATGGTCAGAAACATTAAATGCACCCAAGCTTAGGAATTAATGGAATAACACCTATGACAAGGCGCTTCGACATGTAAGTGGGGGCCACATTTCTCTTCATTCAATGGTTATCATTTCTCATCTTTCACTATAAAGGCTCATACTTCATACCATTTGAAGATAACAAAAGTTTATACTCCCAACTTTGACATTGCTCTCTCTCCAGTTTCACTCTCTAAACTAGTTCTACCCTGACCTCCTATATCCAAGCACTTTTGTAGCTCACGTTTATAGCACGTTACACACCCATGTACATATATACATGCGATCACCTCTAAAGAAGGCCATGTGCTCATAACAAATTGTCCAAGTGTGCAAGAGAAAGGTTACGTAGACGTGAGTGGAGCAAGAATCTGCTGACAATCGAGGTCAACCATTGCAATCCATAAAATGATGCATGTCATTTGTTTTAATGAAATTGTACTTATTTCATATTAGCTTTACTCATAGATAGATGTAGGGGTAGGCGCGAGTCGGTTCGGTTCGGTTCCCTTTAGAACCGAAAATCGAACCGAACCAAAATTTTCGGGTATCTAGTAAATGGAATCGTCGGATCCAAATATAATTATGGAACCGTTCAGGTTCGGTTCCGTTCGGTTCTATACTATATTTAAATTTTTTTAACATTTATAATAACATTATATAAATACAACTAATGATACATTCAATGGTTTTGAAATGTCAGAGACTAGTAGACTACCTTATTCAAACGATTGCTACGATCAAAGCTTCGGTCGGCGAAGGTCGCAGCTTCGATCGGAGGTCATGGCATCGGCCGATGATTGTATAGGTTTTGGAATGTTAATGAGGCTACGAGAGTGAGTGCGAGAGTCGAGACAACGTTATGCACTTTAGTGTAGGCGTTTAGGGTTATTTAGTGGATTAAATCTTGTTGAGCTAAGAAATGAAACAATAAAATGGGTAATTGGACCAAAAATTAAAAAAATTAGAAATGAAACAAATTATTGGGCCAAAAATTTAAATTTAGAAATTGTTAATTTGTTAAGAAAAAATTAAAATAATTTGATTTACTAAATATAAAAAAAAATAAGAAAGATTCAGTTTTTCGGTTCTTGGTCTAGAATCGAGAACCGAACCGTACCCGTCGGTTCTCAATTCAGATATCCGTTCGGGTATTTAATTTGACAAGAATCGTCGGATTCGATTCAGTTCGGTTCGATTCGGGAGATTTGCCCAACTCTAAATAGGTGTATCAAACGGGCCATAAAACTCTTTGCCGAAAACTGAAAAACACGTGCAAAAAAGTTTGCTTTGCAAATATTTCAAAGAGGGCAATAGAAATAAGAAATCCTTTTCTTCTTTTTTACATGCAAGAATAACCCAAAATCTTCTTCTCCAAGAAAACAGATTAGAGATCTTCTCGCAATATCCGAAAATGAACCAGCCCAAGAAAATGAATACCTAACTTAGAAGAAATCTAAAGAACTAATGTACGATGAACAGGAAAACTCAAGACACACACAATGTGTTTGTTTAAATGTTCCAGAGAACTCACCTTTGTACGCCATATTCTGTAAAACCCATACATCCTGGAAAGCGATTCGCCTGAACCCATCTGTACACCATATTTGGTATAACCCGCCTTGAAGCCGTCTCTATTCCTTTGTCGTGGAATCCAAAAGTTATTTTTCTAATTCAAAACAGGGACTCTGTCATTCAAGATGGAAGGAGCAGCAAATTATCAAATGAGTTATGTTCAACCAGCAAGTGAATTGATACAGGAGAAAGATCGTGATATTCTCGTTTTAAATCTTCCCGGTGTGTCCCGCAAACTTTTGATTTCTAAATTGCATCTTTTTGCTAGATATGATCCACACTAAATTTAGAATTTCAAAATTTTCCTTGAATTTTTCAAAAAATTCTTGTAATTTTCAATTTTTGTCCCTACAATTAAATTTTTTTTTTTAGCCCCCACAAATCTTTTCTTCTATCTCCGCCCCTGGCAAAAAATCATATTTTAAGTAGATTTTGATAAAAAGTTGATGAAATGTATTGTTAAGTTGATGAAATGTATTGTTAAAAAATTGTGGATGAAATGTGTGGTTGAAATGAGTTTAAAGAAAAATGAATTTTAAAAAATGGGAGCCAAACAGGGTGGATATGACATGGGCTACTCTTTCTTTGTTCTTTACGTATTTTCACCTTTGAAAACTGATCTTGCTAATCTATTAGTCATTACCATCAATTGATCATGATTGCATAACAAATTATGGGTACGGTATGATCCATTTTACTGCATAAATGAAGTTAAGGAATGCCGAAAGTATATCGTTTCGTATCCTACAGGGTTTAAGAAAGAGCTGTTGAAAGCTGAATTAACTAGTGAATCAAGAATCCTGAAGATCAGTGGAGCAAGGCAACTTGAGGATAAAAGGTGGATTGGTTTTGATAAGGATTTTCCGGTTTCGCCAAATTGTGACACCCAAAAAATCAGTGCAAGATTTGACAACAGCAAGCTGTTTGTGACTATGCCAAAACTGATTAGTCCAGCAGCGAAAGAAGAAGGCAAACTGCAACCCTTAGAAACCCGAAAGCCTCAGAAGCCCACAAAGAAGCCATTCGCTGCTCCAGACGTGAATATGCCAAAACTGATTAGTCAACCCTTAGAAACCCGAAAGCCTCAGAAGCCCACAAAGAAGCCATTCGCTGCTCCAGACGTGAATATGCCAAAACTGATTAGTCAACCCTTAGAAACCCGAAAGCCTCAGAAGCCCACAAAGAAGCCATTCGCTGCTCCAGACGTGAATATGCCAAAACTGATTAGTCAACCCTTAGAAACCCGAAAGCCTCAGAAGCCCACAAAGAAGCCATTCGCTGCTCCAGACGTGACTATGCCAAAACTGATTAGTCCAGAAGAAAAAGAAGACAGCAAACTGCAACCCTTAAAAACCCGAAAGCCTCAGCAGCCCACAGAGAAGCCATTCGATGCTCCAGAGAAGAATGTAGAACAAGCCAGCCAAAAGAAATCGGCAAGGCAAAAGATGAACATAGTTCTGTCTGTTCTGTTGGCCATTCTTATTGGTCTTTATGTTAGTAATCTGGTTTGGTATTTCAAGAAAGCTGAAAATTGAGGATTGTTCATTTTGTAAATAATTAATGTAACAATTCCAAAAAATAATAATAATAAATAATAATAATGTATCTCTAACTGATTGAAGGGAATCAACAGAATTAGAAGTGCTTCTCACGTATTATAAGCAAAATATGTTTTGCGTCTTTCTGTACAGTGAACAATGATTCTATCGATTCTGATAAAAGGATTTCTAGGCCTAGCCAAACTCGGCGAGAATAAGACTTTAAGTTTTTTATTATTATTTTTTTCATGTGATATAATCCATGTTTGATAGGGATTAAACTCTAAATTTTAATCTAAGTTAAACTCAATAATTAAATTTAATCACATATTTTATAAGATCCACAATTTTTCAACAACACAATTCATCAAATTTTATCTTAATTTATTAAAAGTCTAATTTTAATCTCCACCAAACAAGGACATAGAAAGTCAACTTATCACCTGTAGTGAACGATTACTTTAACTTTCGACAAGTCAACCATAGTAGCGAAATAATGACAAGGAGAGCCTCGACCATGGAGTTGTGTTTTGATCACCACCAAGTAGTCACCCAAATAGAGCCAGGTCACATTAGAGCCAACACTAGAGTCAACAAAATGGGACAAAAGTAAAGTTTTAATTTTGTTAAGGTTGCACAATGCTCCATGGAAGGTGTACTTGCACGACATTGCCATTTCGTGATCTTGTTTCGGAGCTCTCCTTGAAAGAAGGAAAGTCCACATGTAAGATATAAATCACTGTAATCGAACATAATGATTGGCCTAACAAGAACCTATAAATGTAAGATACATAAGATTGTTGTGAATTTCAATTGAACGGATTTTATTTACAAGCAAATACTTTGTCAAATTATTTGCAAACGTCTCTAATTTGAGCATCATAGTCCAATCGATTGTCAAATTTTAAGAATTACAAGCAAAAAATTTGTTCTACTAAATTTACGAAAACACGTTGATAGAAATTGTTATGACCAACTCTAGTGTTATTTGTTTTAGATTCCTATAATTATCTATTATACGTTAGGTAAGGTGTATTAACCAGTACAATACAGTAAATACAGAAAAAAAAATATATTTATTTGTTGTATTGTCCAAACCTATCCAATATTGTGTGCTAATCCTTATATATATTTATTTATTTTAAGCGCGTACTAAGCATAAGCTTAATGAATCGCAGATCAAGACTAAGGTAAATAAATTTAGAATATTAGCTAGTAATCAAATATTTTTCAAGAAAAGTCATCTTTTAATTTGTCTTTATTTAATCACGTGCTACAAATGTGCAATGTCATTTTCATTACTTACTTTAATCTACACGAGATAATGCAAATCGCACTTTTGAAAAAGAGAGAGAGAGGGAGTAAACCAAAAAAAGGGTCTATATACAATGGAATTGAATTACTAATGCTTCAAAAGGGACAAAAAAAAAGTGAATGATAAAGTTAAGTATAATTTACATTTGTGAATTACTTATAATTATATTTGTGCAATAAAAACAATAATTTTTTTCTCATGCCGTTGAAAGAGTTGCTCAAGAATTTATTCCAAATAAGAAACTAATCACCCTTGGTAAAATTCCGAGGATATTTTACTTTTGAAATCGATCAAATTGACCCGACTCGTCAATTTTTAACAAATGTCAAGGTGATTTCGAGTTGAAATTTCAATCAATTTTGATGATCATGTTGAGTCGAACCTCGATCCATATTCAACCCTACTTACACGATCCACGCACTCCACACCAATCAGACACGTAATCTTGAATGCATCTAAGATTTCGTCTACATGTTGGATTAACTGAACGTTTCCACATTCACTCAAACTCACTTAAATGTGGCTATAATTAATTATTTTTCCATTTGGCTTTGCTTTATCAAGTGCCAATACTTTTCATCTTCCGTACACTAACCCATTAATACTGTTCATATTATATCTTACGTTAATTAATTAAATAATCGAAGAAATATATACTTATAAATCCCTCTCCTTCCATCTGTTTTGTACTCTGAAGGGTCAATTATTCTGCACGAGAAGAAGAGAGTTGAAACAAGCTTCTCAAGAATACTCTAAGGTGAAACCAAGCCAATTTCCTCAATTCTTTTTAATCCTGGTTACTTTTTCTGCATATTTTCTTGTGTTTTGCGTTTTTTTTCTTGATTAAGTTGGGTTTTTTGGTTGGTTTTTCTTGATAAGTTTGGATGATCTTTTGTTCATATATGTGTTTATGTATATTTTTGTGGGTGGGGTGGGGGATTTATGGGTGTTGTGGTTTGAGTTTTTTCTTGTTAATTTTGTTGATTTTTTAAAAAAATAAAGAAATCAACTTTTTTTTTCTCCAGGTTTAATTATTTCTGCTTCTTTAAATTCTAACTGCTTATTAATTCTTGTTTTCAAGAACAGAAAATGGATGCATTAAAACATTTATTGATCTCGTAAAAACAAAACATGAATATGGATCTGTGAAAATTACATTAATTTACACTAATCTTCCCGGGAAATTTGAAACTTCTATTGCCAATTTTGCGGGAAATCAAAGTTTAAGATTTCCTTTTACTCTTGTTTGATTTTTATTGTAATCTGCTCAGATCTGATTCCTTTTCTCATGTCAACCTTTTTATATGCTTAAAATGAACTTTTTAGCTGCTTTTTTCCCCCTCCGAATGGTTGACTGTATGTATGCAAAGATTCTCAGATTTTTAGGGAAAAATCCTCGTTGAGATTCTCTATATTTCCCTTGTATCCATGTTTGCAGGTGGGAACAGCATGGTATATAAGTGATTCCCAATTCATCTGTTGCTAAATCTCGTGTTTTGGCGAAGACAGACTGCACATTTCAAGGCTTTGAAGTTCGTGTGTTGAACAGAGTTTTGTAATACGTGCACATCTGAGACAATGATGATTTTTGATGAAATGGGGTTCTGTGGTGATCTTGATTTCTTCTCGTCTGCTCCTCTCAAGGAAGCTGATGTGTGCGGCCCACAACCGGTCGAGCAAGAGCCAGTTGTAGAGGATGATTATACTGACGAGGAGATGGATGTGGATGAACTTGAGAGGAGGGTGTGGAGAGATAAGATGCGACTCAAAAGACTGAAAGAAATGAATAAAGGTAAGGAAGGTGTTGATGCTGTGAAGCAGCGGCAGTCTCAAGAGCAAGCCAGGAGGAAAAAAATGTCGAGGGCACAAGATGGGATCTTGAAATACATGTTGAAGATGATGGAAGTTTGCAAAGCTCAAGGTTTTGTTTATGGAATTATCCCTGAGAAGGGCAAGCCGGTGAGTGGGGCATCTGACAATCTTCGGGAGTGGTGGAAGGATAAGGTCCGATTTGATCGTAATGGACCGGCTGCCATAGCAAAATACCAAACAGAGAATGCAATCCCGGGGAAGAATGAGGGGTCAAATCCCGTTGGTCCAACCCCTCACACGCTGCAGGAACTCCAGGATACAACCCTTGGATCACTTTTGTCCGCTCTTATGCAGCACTGTGATCCCCCTCAGAGGCGGTTCCCATTAGAGAAAGGTGTTCCACCTCCATGGTGGCCCACGGGGAAGGAGGAATGGTGGCATCAGTTGGGTTTGCAGAAGGATCAAGGCCCTCCACCGTACAAGAAGCCGCATGATTTGAAGAAGGCATGGAAAGTGGGTGTTTTAACGGCCGTGATCAAGCACATCTCTCCTGATATTGCCAAGATCCGTAAACTTGTAAGGCAGTCAAAGTGTTTGCAGGACAAAATGACAGCCAAGGAGAGCGCGACTTGGCTTGCCATCATTAACCAGGAGGAAACTTTGGCTCGAGAACTATACCCCAATCGATGTCCACCTTTGTCTTTGTCCGGTGGGAGTGGAACTTTTACCATGAATGATAACAGTGAGTACGATGTTGAAGAGGTGGATGATGAGTCTCCCTTTGACGTACATGAGCAAAAACCCAACCCCCTCGATTTGTTGAATATCGGGATGGAGTTTGCTGATAGACTACCAGTTCAACAGCAATCTCATCCAATGAAGGATGAATTCATTAACAACATGGACTTCTCAAGGAAGAGGAAGCTCGAAAATGAACGGAACATCGTGATGGATGATAAGATATATACTTGCGAGTTCCTTCAATGTCCTCAGAGTGATCTCCGCCATGGTTTCTCGGACAGGATTTCCCAGGACAATCATCAACTTGCTTGCCCTTACCGACATTCTTCTGAGTTTGGGAACTTCAATATTTCTGAAGTCAAGCCAGCCACCTTTCCTCAATCTCTTGTCCAGGCCAAGTCCGCTGCTTTGCCTGTATGTCCAACTCCACCTCCCCTTGATCTCTCAGGACTTCCGGATGACGGGCAAAGAATGATTAATGAACTTATGTCTTTTTATGACGACAATATTCAAGGGAACAAGAACTCAAATGCTGGGAACTCTACAGTTACAAAGATGCAGTCTCTTCAGCTGCTGAGCACTCAGTCTCAACAGGGTAGCTTCTTTCACGGTCAGGGAATGGCTTTACCGGGCAATATTTTTGAAGAAACGAACATGCCCACTAATCATTCTATATTCCGCCCAGCAGAAAATCGATTCGACCAGTGCAAGGTTGGAAATTCTCCTTTCAACTCCACCCCTAATGAGAATTTCCAACTGATGTTTAGTTCCCCATTCAATATACCATCCGTTGACTATATCGAAGGTTTTTCTGGCCTTTCAAAGGATAACATGCCAAAGCAGGACGTTACAATTTGGTATTAAGACGATTGCCAGATTGAAGAGTTCACACAATTGTTCTATCCTGTTCAGGTGTAATTTTATCGCCTATAGTTATCTATCTTTTATTTTTTTTTTACAATTATCCAGTAGTAGATGTTCATGGTACGTCTGATAAAAAGAAGTTGAATCTTGTACATTGTACTGTATTGTCGAGTTCAGTGTACCAAACGTGCCATTTCAGGCATCATTGTCACAAGCAAAGTAAGGATATGGTTCACTGAAGACATTTTACATATGCTCTGCTAAAATGGATAGACTTGTAGAAATTACATAAATAAGGTTAGTTTTCTTGTGATTTGTACAACCACAAATTAAGGTTTGATATGTCTATTGTGGTAAACAGTTAATGTTGAACGCTGGCTGTATTTTGTTGACTAAGTAGGTTGTCTTTGTCTACTTCATTGTCTTTTTGTGGACATCTCTTTGTAAATTAGTACAAGAGGAAAGTGATTGGTTGGTTCCAGGTCCATTCATGTCTTGCTAATGATGTTAGGTGGCTGGCATTTACCGTTGATGAAGTGGTTAAAATGAGCCGGCGGCTCGCACGGATGGGCCAGCCATGACAAGATTTTTTCCGAGGTTGAACAGTACTATGAACAAGATTTTGATTATTGGATTTCATTATAATGTTTTAGTATGCTCTTCTTTGCTTGACTTGTGGGGACAATGACCTTATCACATTTAAAAAATGAAGTATAAAAACATAAGCCAAGTTTTTTTCTTTGTTTACTACCTTTGAATTTCGACAAGATAGTTTAACATGATAGCATCTGGCTCTCAATTTTACTTATTTACGAAAATTTCACATTGATCCCGAAAAATTGAATTTGATTCGTAGGTTATACAAGTTAGATAAGTAAACTTTAGTTTATATATATTGTAATAAGATTGTAATAATCACATTGAGTAGAACTTGCTCTTCAAATGTTTATAAACTCAAAAATTAAGTCGAATGATAAAGTTATCACAACATTGTAGCACATTTTTCTGGAAGTCGAGATCCATGGCAACTTGTATTCTCAGTCAATCAACAAAGGTTGTCATGTTTGCAAAAAGGTCGGGATACTTGTGTGTTAATGGTTATAAATTGATACATTGAACGATATTTTAATGACACGAAACGTGAGTAGAGTCGAAATTTCTTATAAAATTAAGAGAGTAAGGGGTTGTGAAGTTGTGTAAATTGTAATCTGATTGGACAACGTTGTCGTCATCCTTTGGTTCAGATAAAGTATGCAAACTCCAACCAGCTTCCCTTACAACATAGAACAATTAAAAATATCATAACTGAAGGAAAAAAAAAATAACAAATAATAATGGGGTGCACATGAACATGAACCTAGCATATGTTTTGTCAATAAGCAAGTGTTGATCATTGGTTCATTGATTTTTATTTTATTTATTTATCTATTTTTGGGCTTTTCCACCGATTTTTCCCACACATTAATGATTCATTTGGTAGTGCTTTCTTACAGGAGAAAGAGCCTTTTTTTTTTCTTTTTAAGGTTTTCTCCCATTGCTTTTGAAGTTCTTTTAGGTTTGTGATGTGAAATAAAGCAAATGTTGAAAGAGGTTTAATGGACTTCGACCGAAATAATGCGTCAACATAATGGAGGATATTTCACGTATCGTTGACAAGGAATATGCATAGGATCGAAGTTCGATCCATTCAATTAATCTTATTTCAGTGTTTTTTTATCTTTCGATTAGTACTGAATAGGATAAAAAGAAAATATTTATCCTCCTCCTCCGTTGTTGCCCTTGTTCCAACAGTGCATTATCAATTAACTTCTTTTCCATTTAATAATAATTTATAATGGTGGAAGTTGACCCTGAAGGATACTAATTATATTGTTTTAAGATCATCCACCAAACGAGGAAAGACATGTTGAAAATGAAAAAATTAATACGAAATTATGACTTAAAAGCAATAAGTATGGAAACTTTTAAAATTTTAATGTTTATATTTTAAAAGTCTGTTTAAAAATTTAGAAGTTTTATTTTTATGTTTAAATAAAGCTCAATAAATTTAAAAGGAGACCTTCAATCAAAAAATTCAAAAATATAGTGAAATGAAGAAATATAAAAAGAATTAGAATAACCAAATAATTTGTTTAGATCGACATGATGCTCAACTCTAAGATGAACTTAGGGCGCATTTGGGAGGGTGGTCTGCTTCTACTTCTTATCATCGTATTAAGAGCTTTTGAGGAAGCTATCATGAGTTAATTTTTCTAAAAACTCTTTTAATAAGATAAAATACTTCAAAAAATTTATTCAAATAGATCCAAAAGCAGCTTCTTAGTATGAAAACAATATTTTGCTTTTCAAAAATCTTGCCAGATAGACACTTAACTCGTTCAAACGTTTCAATGAACCATCCTTTTCAATTAACTAGATATTTATACGCTTGTTAAAAGCTTAGTACGGCAAGGTACAACCCCACTCAAGGACACACCCAATACCATGGCATGGGTCGAGCTTTTGAGGGTTATATCTAGACTAACTCGATTCATTTTTACATCTCTATGATAAATTAGATTTTTTGAACATGTCTACGTGCTTCGTAACCCAAAGTGGGGTGGGGGCTTTTGATTTGGCCACAACTCCAAGGTGGCACATCCCAACATATGAAGCAACATTTGAGACAAAAGAACATGGGGAGTTTCTTGTAAGCACCTATACATGCATGCACCAAGACACATTCTGCATTCCACACCATATCCAATACATAAAAAGTACAAAATCCCATTAAATATTTTTACATAATTCATTTTTTTTAATTAGAAAATTGAAAGATACATAGCCTTCAGACAAATGATGTCTGAAGATGAGAAGACAATCCTTAGTGAAATGCTAAGTGTCTAATTATAATTAATTAGCATTTTCAAGTTTCTGACTACTCTGCCAACTTATAATATGAATCATTCTAATCTCAATGATCTGGCTGCCTGTGCATCTTTTTTCAAGTGATTCATAGTGTCCACGTCGTTGAACAGATAATCGAATAGAACGAACATAAGTGATAAAGAAGATTCATGAATTCAAAATTTTAGTATAACAAGATTTTTTCGAATTATATCAAGATTTAAATTTCTTTTTATTAAAGTAATTTATGTTTGAATTCAAATTGAGATACCAAAGAAATTTAGATGTTCTTTAACATGAGAATTTTGAGTACAACGTGTTTCCATTTTATACTCGAGGCATATTAAAATTTTATACATACAAATGCTTGTTTGTGGTAGAATTCAACTTATGGAAGAGTTAAGAGATTTCTTATGTAGAGATTTCCTATTTTTTCTTTTACTCGACTCGAAAGGGATAGGGGGCTTGAATCTTTAAAAAGAGAGCACTATATATCATTTAAATATCATATCATTTACCAATTTTCTTCTCAAGTTTATTTTGCGAAAATAAAGTTCGACACTTTTAGAAAACATGTCGCTCAACATAAAGCGGGCCTTTTCTCATATTTTTCTTTGACATAGCAAAAATAATTAATCCCAAGTGAAAATTCAAAATTTCGCTTGTAGATGTCGTGAAAGAGTGAATACTTTTTATTATAATTAAATTAAACTAATTGTTATTACTTATTAAGACTTACCACTCATGTTTAACCGCTTTTTGGAAAGATTAAAATAAGATTTTTAGTAGATTTTAATAAACGTTAATGAAATATGTAATTAAAAAGTTGAGAGACCCATGAAATACGTGATTAAAATTAATTATTAATCTAAATTTTAATCCATATTAAATAGGGATTAAAATAATAATCAAAATTTGAATAACGATTAAATTCTAAATAATAACCAACACTAGTTAATGACGAAAATTAAAGATAATGACAAAAGTTAGAATATCTAATATTCAGAATTAATCCACAATAAACAAAATTCAAATTTAAATTTATTAAATAAAATAAAATTACCCAAAAACACAAAAACACATTTCGAAGCTCTAAATCACGTAATTTGACCGAAAAAGGCCGAACATCAGGGCGAGGCTCTAAGTTTGGCTTACTGGAGCGTTTCCACTTAAAATTGGCCCAATATTCTCCCAAAACGAACACTCAAAATTATTTCTTCTGACATTCGTCAACTTTTCAAGAAGATCTTCTTTCTGTACCACAACTACTTTCTTTTTCATTTTTATTTTTTCAATTTTCTTCGATTTTATTATACATATTTATCTTTTCAGTAAGTGAGAATTGACATATTACAGAATGAAAATACAAGAGTTCCAACATAAACAGTCATAAAATCCAAAGGAACAGCCATAAACTGTGGTAACAAAGGAACCAAATGACACAAGTATTATCCACTACTCTTTTAACACAACACCAACACCAACACCAACACCAACAGCAAACAAAATCAGATAATGTCATAAAAAAACAAATACTTTACATGGTTTCACTGGTCGAGAAATGTACAGTAAGTCGTAACATTCATGCATCAGGATCGAGTAATTCCTATAGAACGATAAGTTTCCTATGTAAATGCTCTCCAGTCAAACTCACATCTCCTTCATGGTCATGATCATGGAAAATGAGAGTTAAGATTCCAACTAAGCATAGAACAGAACCTACGAGAAGCTTGTCATAGCGTTCGACCCAGTGGAACTTGATCTGGCTTGCACCATAGAATGAGAGAGCCACCAGCGACATCATTACAGCTATCGTGCTGCAAGTCCAAAAGCATAATCATATGTCATGCTTGGTGCATATTTTATCACCTCAGGAGATTTTTAGTATGTATCGACATTAATTAGTGGGAAATAGGAGTGTGTTTAAAACCATTACAGAAGTTAATAGCTGTTTAGATGGTAAGAGAAGGAGTTGATGAACCATAAAAAGCAGACAACTCAGATGTGGCAATCATTAACTTAAGAAGCGCAAAACCATACTTCAATCAAGAGCAATACATAGAGAACCATCTCCGCATTCAGAAAGCTTCTTAAAATCCTAAGCTCCAAAATTGAAAGATCTGGCTTGTGGGTTTGAAACTAGAAGGGGAAGCAAATAATTTCCATTGATTTCAGAGTTTTTATGATGCAGGTATTTAAAAAATTAAAAAAAATAAATTCCTTATTTGAAAGTAAATATGGGATTACACGACCAATAACAAAATAATTTATTTTAAGATTTATAAGTAAACTTGTAAGTAAATCTTTTAAGCCCAGCCAACCATGCACATAACACATTATGATTTGCAAAACGGACAGCAGTGACTGTTTTCAGTCAAAAGAACAAAAAAATGCAGCAATTCCTAAATGTTTCTCATATTATCATAGCAAAATCTAACCAATAAAATCTCGATCATTTTTTTAATTAATACTGTTGCCCACATGTAACTATTAAGAAATTGAAGGATGAAACATAATAAAGCAAACATTTGATATTAAACATAGAAACCGTACCTGAATAACAGAACTATGATAGCAAGCACCATCATAGAGGATGAGTTTCCAACAGCAAGAAATACAGGAAGAGTAGTTGCGCAAGGAGACAATGCAGGTACAAGAACAAGACCAGCAACTGCCATTTTTTCCATAGGTTGGTTGTGAGAATGGCTATGACCACCCTTTCCAGACAGAAACAAAATGATGTAACTGCCTCCAAGAACTATGAGCAACAAAGATGCAAGTTTATGCACAGTTTCCTCCCCCGCAATTGTGTTTGATATGGTAATTGCTGTTATGCCAAGCAATGAAGTAGACAATACATGCAACACTGCTCCACATGCAGCTGCATGCAGATAATCAATTAGAAATGATCAAGACTGTTTATGCGAGTAACAAAGTCATATAACCCATATTAGCGCCATTGACGTATGACTGGTACTCAGTTTCCTAAAGCTAGGTGAAATGCCACGGCTTAGTAGTATTCTCGAAATTAAGCGGTCAACTTTAATGGGGAATAAGCACACTTTATATTTTTTTTTTATCTTTTTTTTTTTCAAAAAACATTTTATTTAATTTTAGTTTCAAATTTTTAAATGACTTTATCTGCACTTTTGTAAAAAATGACTTTATTCGATAAAGAGTTAAATAAGACTTAAGCTACAATGCTATCTACATTATGTAATTATGATTTTGAGATTTATCATTTTATTGGAAACAAAAAGCATATATGAAGTTCTTATAAATTTATTAAGAATCCATTTGTTTCTCATTCTTTGGCCAAAAAGATGAAAAATATAACCGTTATCTATCACATCAAGCCTTCATATTTGACTTCTTTTCTCTTGTGTGGGTCCCGTAACGACTATATTTTTCATTTTCATTCTTATAAAAATGAGAATTAAACGGGGGCTAAGTAAGATTTGTCTAGTAAAAATTGAAATTATGAAAAATAGTGTAACTTGTTTATTTGGAAAATTTGAAAATTGTATAATTGACTAATTGTAGGAATTACTAAATAAAGATAGCATTTTATAATTTTAGATGTTTGATATGTATTATTTTAAAAAGTTAAACAATTTTGAAAGTAATTAAAAAATAATATAATACTAAAAATAGAAAACATTTTTTACGCCTAAGCTCGTAAAGTTTAAAACTTGGCCTCCTCGCTTTTTAGAACACTGCCCATACTAAATTTAGGATTTACGAATTTTATGGCTACTAATAAGTGCAATTCTTACACGTATCATGACCTCTAAGTAAGTTATTTTGTTAATAGTTTGAGTGTTTTTTAGTCGATCACAATTGATTTTTGTACATTTTTATGATTGTAAGATGAAATATCTAAACTAGTGTTAAATTGATGAAATTGGCAAGAAAATGAGAAGAAATCGAGGTATTGAAGTAAGATCAAGAGCTTACCATTGGAATATGAGAAATAAAAGAAATTGAAAAAGAAGAAAGGTGACTTGAAATAATAATGAAGGGTGAAGTGAAAGACCAAAATTTCCCAAATTTTTGTGCATGTTAATAATTTTTGTCTTCTTCTTCCTTACACAATCACGTCCAACTCAATTCAATTCAATGTAATGCACTAAAATGCATTCCTTATGCAATATTGCATAGTACTATACATGATAGCAAAAGTTAACTCTTCTTCTAATATTATTTGTTATTGTTCAACGTAAACTTAAAATATATCGTTGTATCTTAAAATTTTTATTTCGTGTCATCGGTTATTTGCATATAGGATATTTAAGGGGGAAAAATAGTATGCCCTAATCCTATTATTCTAGAATCTCTCTTAAATTTAAATAGCAATGCAATTGGCTTCTTGCTGATATGATTTCACACAATAAAGTGAAGTTATAATGCGTAAGATTATTTGGATATATTTGGTTTTCAATAATTTAAAAGGATAATTTCGTTAATTGACAAGTTTCATTATATAGAGATTTCAATTTCTCATATAAGCTGGATGTTGAGGTTTTGTTTTTTGAAGAAGCTTGAGTTTGGTACTTCTCTATAACATTTTAAAGAAGTTATTTTCTTAGTCAATAAGCACTTTTGGACTTTAACCAAACACCCATTATTATAACAAAAAGAGCTTTTGCCCTCCAAGAATTTCTTTCGAGCTTTGCAAAAGTTCTTCGAAACACTCTTGGATATTCTTAACCGAAAACTGAAGATTTCAAAGTCCTCCAAAGTTCTACCTTACCATTTAGCCCTTTCTTTGAGTCATCTACAAATATGTCAGAAAATATACAATAAAGTGCCTCATTTTGAATATCTAGTAAGCATATATATATATATATATATATAATAGAAATTACCTACTTCGCCATAATCCACCATAGCTCTTCACTTGCCATCATATCATACGTTTTAATCAAGTCAAGAAAAATCATACGCAAATCTAACTTTTTTCGACTCCATTAATTTCCGAAGTTTTTAAAATAGCTTTTACAATTTATGTCCTTATTTGGGTTATTTTATACCTTCATCCGATAGCTTAATCCATGCTTAGTACCCCTCCCATATTTCATAGAGAAAACAAGCGTACCAGATGCCACAATTGCAGAATACCAACTGGTCGTGAGGAACTAGACATCATCAGTATCAAGTGAAAATACAAAGTAGATTATTTAATTTAACTTAGAACATGATACCTCCTTCTGAAAAGTCTTGCCACTATCATTCCTCCCATTGAACCTCATGTCACTCCAACGCAACAGAACTGAGGAACTAGAGGTAACCACAAACAGTATCTAACCATATTCAATACCCAAAATTGCCACCATAACTTGCCAATTTATCAACCTGACTGAACTCGACAATCTCCTAAGCTTCGTAACTCATTGTTTGAATTGCTTTATCTGAATAATCAGAAAATATGATGTAACGACTTTTAAACAATAATTGTTTTTATCTTGATCCGGACCATATAAACATGTGCTCAAGTATATATATTGTCACCAGCAAACCAATCAATTCATCAACCTGACTGAACTCGACATTCTCCTAATCTCTGTAACTCAAATTGTTTGCATTGTTTTATCCGAATTAATCAGAAAACAAGATGTAATGACTTTTAAAACCATAATTGTCTAGCACCATGATCCAGACCATATAAACAGCATGTCCTCGTGTATATCTTGTCACCAGAAAACCAATCAATTTTCCTGCGTCTAAAAACCAAAACAAAATCTTCATATCAATCAACCCATGAATAACCCTTCCTTTTTCTCCACAAAACCTAGCGGCGTACTTCGAGATCTCACAAATCACTTAGGAATTCTTAAAAAAATCTTCCCTTCCACAAACAAAAATCACAATTTTCACTTTCTTAACTTTTCAATTAACAGTCAGCAGAATGTATAAAGTATAAAGTATAACTGCATATAAAAAAAAATACGTATATATCCATACTTACTGACAAGGAGAGTGCGAGAAAGAGTCCATTTTTGCGCCCGGCCAACAATTGAAAAAGGCAGCCAATGCGTCGGTATGAATGAGTGTAGCAATGATACAGTTGCTATTCCTCCGATCGTCGATAGATCTTCTGCACTAATACTGAACTTTCCACTCTCCATTTTTCCAATTCTTATTTTTTCTTTTGATTACTTGAAAGTGGTAGTGGCACCTGCAGAAAAACTCCACAGCGTGAGTGAATTTGAAGAGCTTTCGTGGGCTTCGGAAAATTACGAATTTAGAAATAATGTAATTACTATCTTTTGCAATTGGGAAATGTTTCAGATGGACGGGAGACAACGGAAAAGGTAGAAGAGTTTATGCTTTCTATTGGGAGAGTACTTTTTTAAAAGATAAAATGGGAAAATTAGGGTCACAAACACCTAAATGCCCGAACTTGAGGGATCCACTTGAAATTGCTGAGACTCGGGACTCTTAACAAAGTCAATGTTACTGAAAAAATGCTCGTCAAGCAACTTGATCGTTAATGCATAATAGCACCTTATTCTACCATAGTTCCAAGATATAGATGCGATCTACTGAACCGAATGTACCTCATGAGCTCCATGCTCCTAACAACTGGCAACTTTATTGTTGTAATCACAACTTTTTAAGTACGGTTAATCTGAGAGCTCAAGTTATACTTGTTGACGCTCTTTTAACTGATTTTCTCATTAGCATACTTACGAAAAAACTCTTTCAATAACCCTATTCATTAGACCAGTCAAATAGCCAACAATTGGAAATGCCACGTCGACATCACCTTAGGAATCGTTAGCGATTCTCTGTCATAAGCTGTGTTTGGAAGTTATGGAATTGCTACTATCCCATTCCACTATTTACAATTGTAGAAATAAAACCTTTTACCAAAAAAATAAAAAATAATAATAATAAAATAAAAATTTGACCACCTGATTTAATGGCTCAGATTTATTATCTCATTTTCATCGTTTCTCAACAATTCAACACTTCCTTACAATTTGGAGGTGTCAAAATTTTCGAGGTTCATGATTCCACTTATCCTCAATATTTTAACACCCAATTAATAGGACAATATGTATGTCTGGTGATTTGAAAAGTTTACGTGTAATATTACTATGTTGAACACGTTTTGAACTACCTAAATTAAAACAGAAGTGATTATAAGTTCTGGATCTTTCTAAATATATGAATAAAAAAATACGTATGACCAATTGAAATCATAATTTAAGCTTTGCCAAACATGCACTAAAAAGACAATGATCAAATTGTTCGTTTTCAAAGGTTGATTGTAAATTTGAATAGTCGAGCAATGGTTAAAATTCCTCATTGTTGAAGAGATAGAGTAGTTCTGTAATAATTAATTAATAGGTAATTAGTACAAAACATTCCTACATTTCGTTGTTTTTGTGAAAAACGTCCTTATATTTCGTTTTTTGGTGGATTATACCCTCACCTTTACATTTTTTTTGTACAAAACGTCATTTTGTCAACTCTCCGTTAAATCAAAAGGTAATTAGCACAAAAGATCCCTACATTTTAATGTTGTTGTGCAAAATATCCATACCTTTCATTTTTTAGCATAATTGGCACAAAAGGTCCCTACATTTCAATGTTATTGTGTAAAACGTTCCTACGTTTTATTTTTAGCATTTTCACCCCTACCTTTCACCTTTCATTGCGCAAAAGGTCCTTTTGATCCATTTTTCAATAAAATGACGTTTTTACCTTCCTATTCAAATAAAACAAGAAGAAAAGAAAAATAAATAATTAATTGCAATCATAGTCTTAAATCTTTCAAAACATTATAGATAAATCCTAAATTTTTCACTACCGCCACTTTCACAACCCCACCAAGCCACCACTTATAGATCCATATAGCACCATCTTTTGGACTCCACCACCACCAGCCTCGCCTCACTCTTTCCAATATCCTCCTCCATAGTATTTGTCACCAGTCTGTCCAAAACAACCACATTTACAGTGGTGGAGTCTCGTGGGCATGGTGGCCAAAAGGTGGTGTTATGTTGATTTATAGTTGGCAGCTTGATAGGTTGTGAAAGTGGCGGTGGTTGAGAATTTATGATTTCTTTGTAATTTTTTAAAAATTTAAGGGCTATGGTTGCAGTTGGTAATTCATCTTTTCTTTTTGTTTTATTTGAATAAGAGGGTAAAATCGTCATTTTATTAAAAAAATGGATGAGAATGACCTTTTTCGCAATGAAAGGTGAAAGGTAGAGGTGAAAATGCTAAAAAATGAAAGGTAGGGACGTTTTGCACAATAAAATTGAAACGTAAGGGCATTTTGTGCTAATTATGCCAAAAAATAAAAGGTTGGGAGTTTTGGACAATAATATTGAAAGGTAGGGACCTTTTGTGCTAATTACCTTTTGATTTAATAGAGCATTTTAATGGGGAGTCGATAGAATGACTTTTTGAGCAAAAAAGGTAAAGGTGAGGGTGTAATCCGTCAAAACACGAAAGATATGGACGTTTTTCACAAAAATATCGAAAGATAGGGACGTTTTGTGCTAATTACCATTAATTAATTGTAGGGATTTTTGTGAGTTAATTGTTTCAATGGTCGCTGAACTTAGGTCAATGTTTTTGATTGGTCACTGAAATTTAAAATATCGAGTTTTGGTAATTGAATTTAGGTTCATGTCTGCGATTGCTTATTGAACTTAGATTTATGTCTTCGATTGCTCATTGAACTTAGGTCTATATCTTAAATTGCTCAATAAAATTTAAAATGTCGAATTTTGATCACTGAACTTTGGAATATGCTCTACGTTACTCATTATTATAAATGTTGAATTTTGAAAAATATCAAATTTACAGTAGGGAATGTACAACATTTTTCAAAGTTTTGTAGTTAAAACTGGACATTTTAAACTTTTGGAGCAATTGAATACATGAACATAAGTTTAATAACCAAAATTCGACATTTTAAATTTCAGTAACCAATTAATGACATGGATCTAAGTTCAGTGACCATTGAAACAATTAAATCGATTGTTGGGTATTTTTAGTAAAATAATAATTTCTCAAAGGACGCCCCCCGCATCACACTGAAACCCCTACACACACTCTCTCTCACACAGACTGCGCATTAGGGCTTCGTCTTCTCTATCCGCCACCAACCTCGGCGATCATCCATGGCGGAAGTATTGAGTGCTCCAGTTGAGAACGTCGACAGCCGCCGGGACAGAAACAACAAAAAATCCTCCGCCGACGCCGATCCTGACTCCTCCTCTCCGCAACCCCCAGCTCCGCCTCCGCCGTCTCGCCGAGACCGCGACCGAGGCTCCAGAGAGCGACGTAATGACAGTGATTATGACCGACCTCCCCGCCGGGAGTACTACGACCGCAATAGGTCACCCCCTCCTCCTCCACCACGCGAAAGGGATTATCACAAGCGGGGGAGGCCGAGCCCGAGTCCACCTCCACCGCCTTATCGGGAACGACGAGGAGGAGGTGGACACTCTCCACCTCCGAGACGGTCGCCTCCGTTTCTACCATATAAACGTTCGAGGAGAGATGATGGATCTGATGGACGGAGGGGCAGTCCTAGAGGAGGGTATGGACTTGGGGACCGAAGGTTAGCTTCGTGATTCGTATGCTTAGAAGTTCGCTATGATAACTTGCCTTGTCCTATTACCCCGAGTGTATAGCGTGAATCATTTTTTCTTACGCAAAATTTAGCGATTTTAAGCTGCATAATGGTTGAATTGCTTGGGCTTGGGGAATACTCGTGCGGTGTTTGTTTATATACGTCTTTGCTATTACGTGCGTCCATTTCACACCAAATAGTGTCACTTGGCTGAGGACAACAATGCTAATCTAATCAGTGTGTTAGTGTAACGCATCTCATTTGATTATGCACCCTGCAAGATATCTTGATTTAATATTGTCAAAGATTTGGACTTCATTGAACTGAGGTTCTTTGTTTGTTGGTTGTGGAGTATAGTTTTGTGTTCTCCATTTTTTTTTTCTGTCTTGTTTGTGAAATTAATACATGCCATCCCAATCTGTTTGGATCTCCAAGAGGCAATTCAAGATTTTCGCTGAATGTTGCAGATTGCTCGTTATTCTCTTACCCATCTCCTGTGATGCATAACTTCTATGGTGCAGGTTCGGATATGATTATCCTGGTGGGTATGATCGTGAGATGGGTGGTAGACTTGGTTATCCCGATGAAAGGCCCCATGGTCGATATATGGGTCGGTCATCTGGAGGCTATAGAAGTGGTCCTTCTGGTAATTGTTCTCACCTTGTTTCAATATGCTGTAGTTTTTTGTATGATGTGATCGATCATAGACAAAGGTCACTCATCAATTTGATTGAGCATAAACAAGGTTCGCATGATCTTGCACAAAAATGATGTAACAGAAAATGGAGGTAGAGTTGCTTCCTGCAGTTTTTGCTGTAGTTCTTAGTATGATGTGATCGATCATAGACAAAGGTCACTCGTCAATTTGATTGAGCATAAATATGGGTTTCTTGTCTAATAAGCCATTATTTTCTCTGGTCATGGTTCAAACGTGTTGAGATATAGATAGTTTTTTGTAGATTCTACTCTGATCGGCAGTGAATCAGAAAATGACGAGAAAAAGGGGGGACAAAACAAAGAAGTGGAGAAGGATTGTGCCTATCTGTCTGAGAAAAAGGTGGTTGGTGCCTTATTTTAGGTGGTGCCTGTCGTGGCTTCATAAGAAACCACTGAATCTGAATTTTGCTTGAAGACTGAAAAAAGGATCTTTTTAAAATGTGAAAGTAAAATCTATGTTGGAGAAGCCAGTCCTTTTAGTATGTGAAAAGAAGGAAGATTATACAAATAATGTAAGGTCATAACGGAGAGGCAAAGGTAAATTAAAAAAATAATAATAATAAAAATGAGCAAGATGTGAGATTGCATTTTTCTTTTTAACAATAAATAGTCTTCCTTGGGTTTTATCCTTTTTTCTGTTCTTTTTCGTGATATGATCTATGTAATTTGTGCCATTTAATGACAGAAGGCATTGTTTCACTTGCTTCACTGATGTTTTCTTGCTATTCGCTTTAAATGAGACCGAAACTGGTTAACTTTCTAATCTTTAATTATGGCATTGCTCGAGGTTTGCCATCTTGTTATTGTTCAGTACTTGCAACTTTAATAATGTCATGGCATGTCATGAGCTTATCCCATACTTCATTTTGTGCATTGTATTTATCTGCAGATTGGGATTCTAATCGTGGCAGTTTTGCTGATGCTTTCCACACCACAAGCGCCCAAAGGTGCATAGCTTAATCTTTGCATATTATTCAGTTATAGCTGCCTAGAGAAGAACATTCAGAAGGAAAATACTTGGTGGCAGCAT